TCCAGGCAGTCAGCATGGAACCGGCTTCCCGGACAATCAGGAAGCCGGGAGGCAAGTCATACTTGCCACCCGGCTTCCTAATTGCCCTCATGCCGGCTCCATGCTAATTGGCTGGGAAGCATATTTCCTAGCCAATCGGCATCAAGCCAGCCAAACATGGAGCCGGCTTCCAGGGAAATCAGGAAGGCGAGCGTGTCATTACCCACTGCCCGGCTTCCTGATTGCCCGGGAAGCCGGCTCCATGCCAGCGGAAGCACTGTAATCGGTAACGGCTAGTACTCGATACCGAAGAACTGGTATCGGTGCTTCCCTAATTGTAAGATTTTGTAGAAATGTCACAAATGGAGATTTTCCTAACGTGCATTTTGCTTTCAACAGAACCGTGCATTGCAAATCATTGCTTATGTGTCACACTTGTAAAAATGTTGCAGCCTGCGCTGTTTTAATGTTGCAGTGGCGGCATTGTATCGGGCCCATTGTCTTAGTGAAAGGCCCCTGTTCAGCTCCTCTCAAATACAGCATTGAAGACTTTGCCCAACATATTTTTCATGATTGTGCTGCATTTTCTGTAATTTGTCACAAGAATGCTAGGTTGAACCTTAAGCTGCGGGTCAGATGCCAGTGGCTGCTTAAACGGGACCCTTACTGGGCACCAATAGGCACCATGGGTATGATGTCTTGTCCCTAAACATCCTGTCTCTTCTAATGCAAGTGCAGTTGGCGCCACCTGGTGGTTGTTTCACAACATAGCGGTCACTGATCAAATACATTTTTGAAACTATTGCTTTTGTTAGAGCCCAAATAAAGTTGTTTTTTTTTGGTTGTAATGTTCTTTAAAACTCCCTTTTTAAAACCCTTTTGCATGGGGTAAAAATAGTAAGGGACCCTGTCTCATGAAAATGTTTCAGCAAAGCAGCACAGTGGCCTTGCAGCACTGGGGGTCTCCTGTTTGTATCTCGGTCTGGACACTATCTGTAAGGAGTTTGTATGTTCTCCCTGTGCTTGTGTGAGTCCAAAAGACATGCTGGAAGCATAATTGGCTCATCTGTAAATTGTCCCTGTTAATAATCATGCAAAGTATAAAAAGAATTGTGGATTCCTCCTCCTCCACTAGTTGCTTGTCCCCTTCTGGGGTAAATGTAAATGACATCCAGCATCATTTAATCCACTTCCTGTAAGCCCAGGCTCACAGGACACACCCCCCCTGGCCTCAAAATACAGTGCTGCATAGAACAGGGCTCACATTGTAGGTACCTTTCTATCCAGCAGAGATGGACGCTGGAGAATGATGACCTTGGGCGTCACATGAACTGGTTGTTCCTGGAATTAAAGTGACACTAAACTTGGGAGTTAAATCTTAAAAAAGCATTCAGGTACCTTAACTATTAACAAAACTGTATCTTATTTGTATATCACTCGGCTGTAGATCCTCAAATCATCTCTGAATTGGTGCGGACACTGTCCTTCCTTCTGGAGGGGGGCTACTTTTGTTACCCATGGCCCCTGTGTGTGTTGTAAAGTAGTCACCGCTCCAAGCTCACTCCCGTGATGGACTACAGTCTCAATACAAATGAGTAAACTAAACATGAGATTGTAGTCCATATGTTGTGACTTTGACCTTGCTTTATACTCCTTGCGCATATATCCTAAAACATTTATATTGTACCTTCCTTCTAACTAAGTGATTGGATCTCTGTGAGTGTTTTGGTTCACAGTCAGAAGAGCATGCTCCGTAGTGTGCAAGAAGTGATGGACTCTTCCGTCCTTGTGCTTTTCATTTGTGTCATGGCATTTCCTCTAATAAACAGCAGGGGGCAGCAAATGATAAACAATTTGCTCCATTGTCTTTTGTTGTTCATCCTGTTCATGTGAACTGGGTTAGTGGAGCGATGTCTATAGGGCAGTCTGTGAGCTGGAAGGTCATCCTGCTCAGGAAATCCTCAGCATGATCATTAGACCTGTACAATATGTGCTCGTATATAAATGTATTTTTAGCTTTGCTGGCATAGACAGCAATCATATGTTTTTATTATTATTGCAGATTGTTGTATAGGACTTACAGTTTACACAGCTTTTTGTATACTGTGCATTCACATCAGTCCCTGCCTTCAAGGTGCCAGTTGACCTTCCAGCGTGTCTTTGGAGCATGGTAGGAAACCGGAGTTGCAGGAGGAAACCCTGACAAGCACAGAGAGAACATGCAAACTCCATACAGATAGTGTCTTAGCCAGGATACGAACCGGGGACCCCCAGTGCTGCAAAGTCTTCTCACTGCAGACCACGCCTGTACAGTAGTGCCCCATACAAGTCTATAGGACTGGTCCCTTTGTGTCTCCTGGCCGGGAGGATTCTCCTCCTATGTATTTTTTCATATTGATAATGTAAAAGAAATGTAAGGACACCCCAAAATCTGTTAGGAACACCCTTGGGTGCATGGGATCAGAGGTAGTGGTTATGCATGATTATGCTTGAGAGATGTGACCTCTGGAGTACTGTAAGAGGGGTGGAGGGTTTTATATATACAGTGTAAGGCTCTATTTATAAGTGTGTCCCTGTTGATTGCTGTGGTTCTTCCCCACCTGCCCGCCCTTACTTTTCTATAGGAGACAGTGGTGTGACTCTGGGTTTGCTGGGAGGAAACACAGCGGGGGAGGGGGTTATGCTATTCACCATTTCTAGAAGTTTTGGATGATGGGTTCTCTGGGAGCTCATGAAGACGGTGAAGGTGAAAGTTGCCACTTCTGTAAAAAGAAGGCAGTTTATTCTAGTGCGCGGCGGAGACACGCGGCCGTAGACTAGTGCGCGGCGGAGACACGCGGCCGTAGACTAGTGCGCGATGGAGACACACGGCCGTAGACTAGTGCGCGATGGAGACACACGGCCGTAGATTAGTTAGACTAGTGCGTGACTACCCTGTATCTGAAGTACCATTTTTAAATGGCTCTCTTTGATTTTTGGTCAGAGGCGGGGGGAATGCCGTGTTCAGGTCTCCCAAGTTGTTCAGGAAATCTTTTTTCATATCTTCTGACACGGTCCCCAATCCCTACTAGAAGAAGCCTATTGAGTTCCTGGTTTATCTACTTAGCACAAGAAGCCACAGTCTCCGGGTCTTGTCTGCAGGCTAAAGCGTACACATTTATTGCATTTACTATCGCCAAACAAACGCGTGCATTTAATTCACATCACTCGCTTAATCACATAGGCTGCATGCCCCAGGAGAGCCCGCGTTCTCCCTCCAAAAGTAAACAAATTCCTTTCACCGGCTTTCCCATTCAGATAATGTTACATATTGTGCACTCGTATTAACAGAAAATAAAAACAAGTTTTCTTTAAGCCAGACGAATGCATCAGTCTTGATTTCAGAGCTGTACTGGCTAAGTATGTTCAGGTTTCTGGCGAAGACGGCGAGATCTAATAAAATAAACTAGACATCAGGTACGCGTTCTGCTTGTTGTCTTTTTCACTTGGCAGACTTTAGTAGAAAAGCGCTGCGAGCGTCCTTATCAATTTTGATGTCGAGGTTTCTGTCTTGCCGAGCGTTAAAGCTACAAAGCCAGGATTGTTGTCCGAACAGTGCAATCCTTGGTAATTTATATATATATATTTACAAAGTAAACTTTTTAACATAAGGCACGGTAAATGATTAAAGTGCACCTGTATTTGTAGCAAGCAGATGATCTAATGGCGGGTGGAAGGGAAGGGTGACTGCATTTGGTTCTTCTGTTGTGTATTTTTGTTTCATGGTTAACCAGTTCATTCTTCTTTTTAAATCTGATATTCTTTGTTTTTTTCCCTGTTATTTCATACATTGTGAACATATGACATAAGTTAGTTCATCTTTCCCAAAAATGCATTCTGTTATCCCTCCAGTACTTGAAAAAAACAAAACACTGCATGGTTTTGAAAATCGAATGAACAAGTGCTCTGGTTGTGTTTTTGTTTTTTTTCTTCATAATCCGTGCATCTCCAGTGTGCTCGCTTTCCCTATGTTGCACAACATTGAGCTCAGCCGCTGCTGCAACAGTGGGAGAGAGACCGTGTTTCCAACATCCGGCATGCCTTGCCATGTAGGCGATGGGGGGGTGCCCACCTAGGGGTTTTTCTGATGCGCACGGCCTACAGGTATTTAAAAGAATTGCCTGGGGGGGCGAAAATAAAGAAGAAATACTCTCTTGTTCCTTGGTCCTGCTTGGCTGCTGGACCGGTACCTGCATCCTCTTCTCCCCTGGGCTCCAGAGATCTAAGGACCCGTGACATCACTTTTACTACAGGTCTATTAGATGTGAAGACGCCAGTGTGGAGGGGGAGAGTAGTGAGCGGTCACTGCTGCAGTACTGAGGATCAGGTGAGTATTCTTTATTCCCCCCCAGAGAAAAGTGAACTGTTAACCCTTGCAGTGTGGGAGTATCCTGGAGTAAAAGGAGGAGCACCGTGTCCCTGGGTATGTGTGTAGTCTTATCTCCCTGCTATTTACTTTTATTTCACAACAGGAGCTGCCATTTCAGCTTCCAGAAAGCCGTTACTGGTGCCTGGGAAAGGGCTGCTGGCAGCAATGCTGAATTTCAAATATTCACTATGCATTATAAATAATAATAAAAAATATATATATAGTATTGAACATAAACCGTATGCTGCATTTTAATGAAGGTTTGTTAACATCCCGAGTGCTGCAGTGTTGATATTGTTTGACGCATTGATCATATAACTGTTTTGTATTGCATCCACCAGGTTTGCTGGGATGGGTAATCTTCTTAAGGTGCTTACCAGGGATATTGAAAATTATCCCCATTTTTTCCTGGATTTTGAAAGTAAGTTATGTGATGGAATCACAGGGCAATGGCTAAAACCTTCTCCTTTCTCTATCCTGACCTTCGATAACAAGCTGAAGGAATGCGGGGACTAGACCTCTTTGCACAGGGGACAGCCGTGTGTTTGCATGTTGCTTTAAATCTCACCCACTTAGCACTTTTTTCCTTTCTCTCCTTTTTTCTGTTTTTCAGGAGCCAAATGGGAAACCTTTTAAAAGTTCTTACATGCACAGAGCTTGATCAGGGACCAAACTTTTTCCTTGACTTTGAAAGTGAGCACAACTCTTGCCTGGCTGTGATGTCTGCACTAATACCACATTGCCTGGCTGTGCTGTCTGCAGTAACGCCACATTGCCGGACTGCGCTGTCTGCAATAACACCACATTGCCGGACTGCGCTGTCTGCAATAACACCAAATTGCCGGACTGCGCTGTCTGCAATAACACCAAATTGCCGGACTGTGCTGTCTACAGTTACGGTGCATTGCCAGACTGTGCTGTCTGCAGTAACGTCGCATTGCCAGACTGTGCTGTCTGCAGTAACGTCGCATTGCCGGACTGTGCTGTCTGCAGTAACGTCGCATTGCCGGACTGTGCTGTCTGCAGTAACGTCGCATTGCCGGACTGTGCTGTCTGCAGTAACGTCGCTTTGCCGGACTGTGCTGTCTGCAGTAACGTCGCATTGCCGTACTGTGCTGTCTGCTGTTACGCCACATTGCCGGACTGTGCTGTCTGCACTAACACCACATTGCATGTCATCTGCTGCATCTTTTCTACAGATTTGCCAACATATGGAAAGCTTTTTAATTAATGTTATGGGGTTTTCGTGCCTCTAATAGTCATACACGTAAAAGATGGAAAAAAAATGAGCCATGATTGGCAGCTTGTCATAGCGGTCAGTGTTGGAGGTCGGCACAGAAGCAGCATAGATCCCATTAGCTCCCAATGGTCCTAGAGCAGGGTGGGCATAGGCAATAAATAATTTAGGGTCTCCAGCTTGGGAAACGGTTTACTGACATTTTAGCTGCCTTTCAAGTTTTAGTTTCTGAATTATTAAGAATTTGAGTTTCAGAAATGGAGAAATATTATATTTTGAGGTCTAAACTGTGTTGGTGGTAGTAGGTTTTTAGTATATATTGAAGTTTTTTTCTAAAGTTTTAACTTTTAAAGATAGTTGGATAGATAGATTAGGGAAAGATTAACATCTCCTGAGGCTTTTTTTTTCCTTTGGTTTGTGTCTCATTGGGGAGAATTTCTTTCACTTCCTGTCCTGGACATGCAAAAGGAAGCGAGAAGGAGTTTTTCCAAAGTAAGGGAAACTCCCTTCTCGCAGTGCAGTGGGTTTCCGCGTTGGATGATTTACCTTCTTTCTTGTCTTGGTGACCACTCAAAATTTAGAATTTTCCCTCACTTTCAGTCCAGGTGACAATGGTCATCAGGACAAAAGGTGAATCTCTCACTAGGACTGCAAGGAACAATTATTTTCATAATCGATTAGTTAGCCAATTTATTTTCTCGATTTGTCGGATTAAAAAAAAAAAATACTTTCCTTAATTTTTAAATAAAATGCACAAATGTAGTGTTACAAACATAAAGTTTACTTCAGAATAAAACTGTAGGCACAATTATTGCAATCGCACCGCACTGGAATCCAAGGCTTTGCAGTAATGCACATTCCAGTGTGGGTGATCACACTGCGGGCAGGAGGTTTATTTTGGCTGGCATTGAAATGAATGGCACCGCAACACACTTCCCCCAGCAGAATCTGTTAGGCTGAAACCGAAAATTAAATCCAAAACATTAAAAAAAAAAAAAAACCCCGCCTATTTATTTTCTGGTGACAACTCAAAGATTCTGATTTTTCCTTCCATTCTTGCTGACTATCACCAGGACAAATTGTTAGGGAATGGGAGGAATAACCTAGAAATCTAAATTTTGTATTTTCCCTCCCATTCATTCTGGATAACCGTGATCACCAAGACAAATTGTGAAGGTGAATATTCCTAGCGGAGGACACAGGAATTAAAACCTGACAGAGGTTGATCCCTACGCATACACTTTAATCGCCAACGGTCTTCTTGGATCCCCTTTTTCCCCATGGCCCCCAACATTGACCTCTTACACGGGCATCTCACAACGCTGCCTCTTCTTACCATGGAAGCGCTCTTCATCATGATAATGATTCACAAATTGGGAACTCTTCTGCTGGTAGCTTCTCATAGCATTCTCTTAAAAACAGAAGAGCGGAGTCCACGTTTTGGCAAATCTGAATCTACTAAAGCATGAGCTGTGCATGTTTTTAACCTGTAAATCATGTTTCCTGTCTACATTGAGAGCACGGATAGGACTGATGTAGAACTAGGGTTTGTACTGATGCATACACAAGTACTAGAAATTAAGACAATTCAACTACTGGTGGAAACTACTTAGTTCTCAGGCACTGAACACAATTTAAATTCGAAATCCTCCTTTATGGATTGCTTTTCTTATGCCAATGTGGGCTTTGGGGCAATACATTGTAGTGAAAGGTAGGAGGAAGGTGTTAAGGTATCAAATGGATTCTTCATTTTAGTTGCATAGCAAAAACTTTAGGTTGACACTGTGGGGTCTACTTATGAACATTTTTATAACTACTATTCCAGCATTTTGTTTTGTGCAAATCAACCAGCTGTTGGAATGGAGCCAAATTGAATGTTCTTAGTGTATTTCTCTTCTGGCTTCGTCAAAAACTATGGGCAGTAGTAAAAGTAGTAAAGTGAATCTGGAAAGTACTTCATTATGGCCATTAGATGGATCCGAGGATCATAAACAATACATATATATTTGTAACAAGAGATGCAATGTAACAATTCTAGAGAACACTGAAGGGAATTAGCAGATTGGTAGAAACAGTGGAATGTTTTGAGATGCCTGCTCAGCAACTGAAGTCCATGGTACTGGAAAGTGATGTTATCAACCTCCCTCCAGTTCAGCCTGCCCACAACCACTGCCTCATGCTTTCCAAAAAGTGGTCACTTGACCAGTGGTAGAAACACAACATAAAAAGGTAGTTTTGTTCATATGTTCCACTAATGGCACTAGGGATGCACCGATACTAGTATCGTTATCAGGCCGATACCAAATATTTGGGCGAGTATTCGTCATCGCCAAAATGCTCGGATACCTTCCCCAATAACGGCAGTGCCGTAGGGGAACATGGAGCCAGCTTCCCGGGCAATCAGGAAGCCGTGCGATGAGTAATTATCCAGCTTCCTGATTGGCCGGAAGCCTGTTCCATGCTGAATTGCTGGGAAGCCATTGAGCTGGCCGAACTGCTGGTTCCTTGCTGATTTGGCTGGAAAGGCAGCTTTCCAACCAATCGGCATGAAGCCGGCTTCTTCAACAATCGGAAAGCTGGGAGGGGTTATTACGGAAGCCGGCTCAATGCTGATTGGCCAGGAAACCAGCTTCCCAGCCAATCGCAATCATGCCGACCAAACTACATGGAACAGGCTTCCCTAGCAATCAGGAAGGATTGCTTGGTAAGCCGGCTCCATGCCAGCGGAATTTTCGGTACTCTGTATCAGCGAGTCCCGAAAGCAAATTATCGGTATGGGATTCCGAAAAACCGGTATCAGTGCATCCCTAAATGGCACATATTAATGCTACCCTTGCACTCCACTTTACAGGATGTGTCAATTAGGCTTGGCATCTACTTTAAATATTACAAAGACAAATTGGCTAAAGGCTGGCACCGCAAAGTGGCTTCACCCACCATTTCTTAGATCTGGTGCCGAGTGCAGGATTTATATGCCAAGGAGGAGAGAGTTGCAGCAATCAAGGTGAGAGATAACTTGGGAGTGAAGTAGGAGCTTGGTGATGTCATTGATTAGAAGGGGGCGTATTTTGGCTTTGAGTCAGAGCTCTGTCAAACCTCTTCCACTTCCCACAATGCAGTGTTCATGCCTTTATACAAGAGCCATGTCACACCAGCGACTCTAGTGGAATGTAATAGTAGCCACAAATTACTGGAGCTGCTGACATGCAGACCTTTTCTTGACTCCAAGTCATCATGCATGGCAATATGGATCGCGGATGGGGCATTCCTGATCTGACTTGGAGCCGAAGTCGCTATTTGCATACTGCGCACACCTGAAATGCTGACAGAGTTTGAAATAAGTGCGGTCACTTTGTGCTGCTTATTGTATCTGACCTACTAATAGTGTTAATAGCAGGGCGTATTTAGGTAGTTGTTAGAGATTAGTCTAATCTTATTGTAATTATAACTGTCCAGGTACATCACACCATATATAACAGATTCAGCTCTATAGGAAACATATCAGGGTTGCTGAGAATGGGCAATAAGGATCCAAAAAGTTACATTTTCACCATATTTCAGTGTAGACTCTATTTACTCTTTGACTTTTTGGTCCATTCACCTATATTCATTCACATTTGTAGTGGTACGGATACATCTTGTATTTCAGGCCTGCATGTGTGAGTTTTCTAAGATCTCTGTGTGTCTTCTTGCATCGTCTTTGTACTAATATTCTTGTGTAACACAATGCATGCTGTTTGCTGGGTTGTTCCAAATGTTGAATATCTTGTTTTCTGATCTGCTGAATATACCAAAGCTGTTTAATACTTGATTGTTAATGTAGTTGACTGTATTTTACCAATATAGTTCAACATCGCTCATATACAGATTTATGCTGCCCACTAACGGGAAGCCCTGGGATCCTGTGTGGGTGAACACACACATATGTTTAAATGTTTTGATGATGTCCTGCACTAAGGGTCCTACATGATGCATCAGTTTTGGGTGGCTGCTGGTAAATCGAATTCGTTTTTATCTTCTTGGATCTTTTAGGCACTCCAGTAGGAAGATCTGTTCCTGAGATTCCTGATCTATCCATCTTTGAATATCTCAGAGAATGATGTAGGAGGAGCGGCCTTATTGCTGTGCTTACTGGGGCATGATAGAAGGCATACCAGCATTTAACCCATAACAGAAATATAATTTTAGGCCTGGGTCATACATGCAGTAGCACACACCTTACCGCCATGCACAGAAACCTATATTTTGCAGGTTGGTGTGCTATGGTGCCATTCATTTTTAATAGCATCCTAACACACATTGCCAATGCACCACAAGGCTTGGTAACCCTGCGTTATGGTGCTCTGCATTACAAGTACATGCACCTTTTGTGGTGCATTAGGCAAACCATTGAAATGATTGGACTGCTCTAACACAAGGCATGTTAATGTGTGGCACAACACGCGTGCATTAACAGTATGGACCCAACCTAAAGGCTGAATTGTTGGAGATTACATTTGAGATGCCTTCGGCTCGGCTGCCTTCAGGAGCTGTACGGGCTGAATAGCCCGAACAGCAGCCCTTTGGGTCGACTGAACCAAAGGGCTCCCGCAACCGAAGCTATCCGAAGGATCAGCCGAACTTCGTCTGATCCTTCAGCTAGCTTTATGAATAGACCCCTATCTTTTTCCTTTTAAAATCCTTTATTAGAGTTCTAGGTAGCCAAACATAATCCAAGCAAACAACCTCCACAACCCTATTAGGTAAATTTTATTTGATTCAACCGACTTTGCCGTGCTTCTTACAACAAAAAAACAAAACTACTTGATTAGATAATACATAATATGTGCCCTAAAATCAAATCAGATGTTCCCTTAGTGGAATAGGGCTTGTGGGTTACATTGAGCCTCTTGGCAGCAGTACAGAACGGAGCGTGATGGTGTTTCCTGAGAGGCGTCTTGGTTAGAATATTTCAGTTATTTGCGGACATTGGCTTTTCTAGCAGAAATAAAAGTCCTGTGTTTCAGAACATGGCCTGGAAGGCTACTCCGGGCTCTCATATTATATTTAACACGTATGTTATTTTTCTTTAGACTAGATCAGATTGGAAGGAACACACAGGCATGCTGAAGGAGACAGGCTGCACATTAGTGTATGGCGCTGGTCCACCGCTGGCCTATGCAGTCATTCCTCTGCAGGCTGTAGATGAAACACACTCGCTGTTTGGCTGCCAAGAGCACGGCTTTCCTAAAAATACGTTTTTTTTACACTCGGCATCCAGGGATTCCCAGCTGAGATCATCGCCTGTGTACAGTAGTGGACTGGCTTTCACTTCTCCATTAGTTAAAGGGCCAGTAAACATAGATTAGTTTATCAAATGCTCACAAATAATGCATCCAAAGGCCATGGCAGTACTCAGAATTTAACATAAAAATAAGGGTATAAGAGGTAATTATATTCACCAATAAACAGCTGATTTTATTTCCAGTAACCTATTTGTAAACCACTTTAACCCCTTCGTGTTCAGCGGTCATTGAAGCCTAGATGCACAAACAATTTTTAGCAGCCTCAGCATGCATCGGTTAACTTGACTTGAACTTTAATTTGCCTAAATAAATCATTTTTACATTTTAATTTCAGGACTTATGATTTATTTTTCCGCTTTTTAATAAGAACCCTGCTCTGTTTTTAAATATAGGCTGAAAAATGGACAAATATTTAAAAATATTAACACACACAGTTTTTGTTTTATCCAGCTGTATTTACTCAGTGCAACTTATAAGATCTAAGTGAAAGATATAACGCCAACATGTCAGAATTTTTTTTTAAATATATATTTTTTTATTAACACACAAACATATATTCTGATTTTTTTTTTTAACTATACTGTAATTGTATCTGACATTTACAGTGTAACAGAGAAACATGGCATGTCAGGTCAGAGATTTATTTATTTTTTTGTGTATGAACCCCCAGCCTCATAGCTGACATATAGATCACATGGTCTGGAACTGCTGTGATTGGTTCTCGATCATAAGTGGGGACCACGGGTCTGACAGCAGGAAGTTGACACTCTGCAAAGGGACCGTGTAGATTAATGTTCCTAGACCTCTAGGCATTTTAAAATGAGTATATTATGAAAAATAAGCCCAGATTACTTTAACAGAATACCATATGTCAGGACAATCTGTATTTTTCGAGATCTAGGTAGCTGAATTAAAAACAAATTGTTTTTAACAGTGCCCAATGTGAGCAGGTGTTACATAGGCAGCTTTAATACAATCTGTACAGAGCCTGAGCCTAGTTCCACCTAGTTTTGTTCGCAGTAACTAATTTTCAGTGCCACTTTCCCTTCCCAACTAAACATTTTTCTTTTTTTTTTTGCATTGTAGCTTTAAACTTAAAGGAGAACTATGAGGTGAATGAAAATCACTCATCCTCATAGATCGAGCCGACGTGTGACAATGAAACTGTCACATGTCGGTTCAATAGATTGGGAAGTAAGCGAACGCATACCGTCGCTCAGTCACTTCTCAATCATCTCCTTGAAGAGAAGGTCACTGTCACTCACGACTCCCCACAGGGATTCTCCCCCCCCCCCTCTCCGATCCAACATTGCTGACTGGAGGAACAGCCTGAGGAGGGGGTGGGTACAGCTGGCTCTGCCTCTAGATAGGCAGAGCCAGCTGTCAATCGCGCAGCTGGGTGGATCTCAACAGCATTGTCGGATCCATCCCGGCTGCGGCGGTGTCAGTATACCGCGAGCTGTAGCTCGGGATATACTTACCCCATAGTTCTCTTAATTTCCTGTTTTTTTACTTTAAAAATTGTGTACTGAAGACAAATGTTACCACATCTGCAAAACATTCTGGTCCTGAAGCTGCAAACATACCCCACATTTTAAATACTTGCTATCAACTATTCACTTTCTCTTCCACTACTTGGTTAGGGTAAAGCCACAGTCTACCGCTGCTTGTGATTATTCTCAATGGATTGCTATTGAACAGCCTTCTTGGCTTTTGTGCTATATTGGTTTTTCTTAGCTCATCGCTGTTGTGAAATTCTCCTTATTTTTCGTTTTAGATGCACAGCCAACGGATTGTGAGCGGGAAGTATGGAACCAGGTCAATGCTGTCCTGCAGGAATCCGAGAGTATACTTTCCGATCTGCAAGCATACAAAGGAGCAGGACAAGAAATAAGAGATGTGTGTCCCCCCCACCAATCTATGTGCAGTATAGTGTAACTATAACTAAATGACGACAGACTCGTGTGTGTATAATATGAATGCTTTCAGAAAGGAAGGTGCAGTAGCCCAAAGCATACAATCAGTGTTTTATCTTTCACTGGTCTAACTACAGTGAGCTGAAGTTTGGTTTTGATGGGTCACTACCCAGGATGAGATTATCCCGCTCTCCCTGATGGATTTCTAGTTTATTGTAGAATTGCTTCGAAGAATGAAGTAGGAGGATAGGGAAGCCAAAGATGGATGGGCTTACTCTTGTAAGGTGGGCAGGAACTGGGCCAGGAGCTATAGCAAGAAGACCTTTATCACTGGAGTTCCCAAGAGATATATGAAGCCATAAAACATTTCAGGTTGATTAAATTAAAGTCTGTGTGCGCTAAAAAAAAAAAAGGCATTTTGTAATGCTATTAAAAATGACTTTTTTTATTTCAGTGTACAGTGACTTCCATATTTATGTAAGGCAATGGAAGGCTTCTCATACATTATTGACGTGTTGCCACCAAATGTTTGCATATATGTGAAAGCATGGGCTTTAAAGTGACACTAAACTCAGGAGTTAAATCTTTAAAAATACATTCAAGTGCCTTAACTATTAATAAAAAATGTATCTTATTTGTGTGTCACTCGGCTGCAGATCCTCCAATCATCTCTGAATTAGTGCTGACACTGTCCTTCCTTCTGGAGGGGGGCTACTGTTGTTCCCCATGGTCCCTGTGTGTGTTGTAAAGTAGTCACTGCTCTAAACCCACTCCCGTGGTGGACTACAATCTCAATACAAATTAGTAAACTAAACATGAGATTGTAGTCCATTGCGCTACAGATCGCTCAGTGTGAATGGGGTCTAAGGCCAAACCTCCCCAGTGGAACACAGAAGATAACAATCAACTAACAGGGTTTAACTCTTCCCTAATGCTGTCCAAAATGGAAAACAAAGGCTTTAGATGCACTTTAAACTGGGTAAAGGCTAAATCCAGATCTATAATTGTTTTATGGGTTTTAGCTAGTTTAAAGAGGATTGCCTAAATATTTCAGAACATTGGAGAAGGGAGAACATTATTCCCCTTACACCCGGGGTTCCAGTATCTCGCTTAGGCAAGAGGGATGTAGCTCAGCACTCTTGCAGCTTTCCCAGGATCCTGCTCGAAGGCTGAGCGGCGTCGCCCCCATCTAGGTGAAAGGACCGGAAGCCATAGTGTAAGGTAATAATTGGTCCCTGTACTTTTGTGCAAGATCCACTTGGATTACTTGCCTGCGTTTTTGCTTTTCTGCATTTTTTTCTCTGTAAATGAACTTGCTTGCAATATATACATTATGTTTTCTTGTTTTAGGCCATACAAAATCCAAATGACATCCAGCTTCAGGAGAGGGCTTGGAATTCAGTGTGCCCCCTGGTTGTCAGACTGAAGCGGTTTTACGAGTTTTCTATAAGGCTTGGTAAGTTATTCTTGTAAGCAGGAGCTTGGTAAAGTGTCTGAGCCCTGCCCCACTCATGGTGTCTGCTCTTCTGTCACTCCTGAGCCTAAACCAGCATAAGTATGCACATTCCTAAAGGGTTAGCCCACCCAAACGCAATGTATTTATAGGTGGGGCCTTGTGACCTGAATCAGTCCCAGGGTTTTTGGGGACTCCCAAGAGTGAGATCTCACTGTGACTGTCCACAATAGAATTTGTGTGTGCTCCTGTCCACCATTGTGTGTTCCTGTTGTATTCTCATCAAGAGAAACCCCAATTAATTTATATTAAAGAAACTGTCAGATGGTTTAACTTTCCAACATCTACCAATTCTCCAACAAACTCCCCTGTTTGGGTGGTCTGATCTTCTCAAATTCTTCACCGTCTGTAGTGATAGGAAAGCTGGAGGGGTGTTTGAGACATTCCCACATTGTCCCATGGTAGCAATGCTTCACTGCTTCAGATTGTATATTTTAAGTGGGTTTGTAGCACAAAATTAAAATGTTGGCCACTGCTTCTGGTGTTATAGTAATCAAGAGGGGAGGGGGGTTGGCATACTACCACATTTCCCCTTTTCTGCTGGATCAGCGGTGGGAGGGGAGGTAGTGGTACAAGTTTAGGTGTAGCCTGAAGGTGCTAATACTGTGTGGACAGCCTTTGCAAAGAACATTTCCAGTCCGCTTCCCTTTTTGCTGCACATGCATGCCATGGCCCTGATCATCCCTCTGGGATGGCCGCGCTCTGGAGGGCCAGCATGAGCATGGCAGGTTTATCTCTAATATTTAATGAGGTTTCCCTTTAGGCAGGAAAAGCTGCCCCCCAAATCCTGGGTTTCTAAGGACTGGTTCACATCATAGCTACAGGCATGGCATTGGTGTTTTTAGCGTACGCTATTGCACGTAGCAATAAACCGTACGCTAGTAGTCCATTTGAATGGCATCCCTATGCTCTGTGCTGTGCAGTGGCCCTAAATCTTGTTTTTTTTTTTGTTTTTTTTTTACTGTCTAGACATTAAAGTTCCTCCTAGAAGCTTTCCATTTAATATCCCCAGGCATGCATATACTCCATGGAAAGACAGGTTAACATACCAGACCGTGGGAGCCAATTGAAGTATCAGGAAGAAATGCCTACAGATATATTTCCATGCAGACATTGTGCTTATTGGGTAATAAACCCAGAACCCTAGCGTTGTGAGACAAGAATTATAGACACTTAGCTTTGTATAATGGTTGGGATTTGCTTCCAATATGTGCCGTGTTTACTGTATCTTAATTTACAAATGGTAATGTCAAGCAATTCAAACAGACCATGGTGACATACATGTTTTTCTGTGTACAGAAAAGGCTCTGCAGAGTTTGTTAGAGTCTCTGACCTGCCCCCCCTACACCCCCACACAACACTTGGAGCGAGAGCAAGCTTTGGCTAAAGAGTTTGCTGAAATTCTGCACTTTACTCTTCGCTTTGATGAACTGAAGGTAAGTGAATCTTCCTTTATATTCGTAGTGGGTGGGGGAGGGAGAAAACATTTGTAATTTCTTCTACTTGTCTTTTAGATGAGGAATCCCGCAATTCAGAATGACTTCAGTTATTACAGGCGGACGATAAGTCGTAACAGGATAAATAACATGCATGTAAGTGCCTGATTTATAAAATGTTCCTAATCCTTTATACTGGGTCAGGATTTGTACCATTTGGCCTTTAGACCAGTGTTTAAAACACGGCACCCTTTAAAAGTATGCAAAATCTTGAGGTACCCCGGTCTAATATGTAAAACTTGTAAATGTAAAAATGTATAAAATGTGGTTCCACCCAAAACCTTACAATCTGCACCATGGTGCGGCAGCAGGGCAAAGGGCGAAAGGCAGAGCAGGTCTGCATAAAGGCACACTTCCTTCCTTTTCTGAATCGTGAGGAAGGTACTGAATGCAGCCCTCTCCGGAGTAGCATCCTGTGCTTCCATGGTGCTGGTGCCTGCACTATGCAAATGCATGATACTGTGCAAAAATTTGAAGACACCCCTATTAAAGCCAGAAGGCACACCAGGGTGTTCTATCTGTTCCAGTTACTATTTATATACAATTTGTGTTCTACAAATAAACATTAAATTCATGGAAAATATGCAAAGAACATTGTGGGTTATCTAAAGAGAAAACACAGGAGCAGTTCAGAAATACTGTCTCATGTTGAAACTTCTCACATAGCCATACCGAAGGATGGGTGGAATCTCTCATCCATTCTCATGTTTGTGTAAATGTCAGCTTTTGCTATTGAGCTCTGTAAACAGGCCTTTTTCTGAAATGGATCTGAGCACTCCACCGGCTTGCTGCATATAAAAATACAGATATTCACCTGACTAAAACAAGGAATTTCGGAGGTATGTAGTCTGTCATAATGAAACTATATAAAAAAACTAAACATAGGTTGCTTCTTAAAGCAGTTCTAAAGTCAAAGCATATATTGTCCTGTTATAACATCAGTTTGGTAATTGGAATACATACTATACACCGATCAGCCATAACATTATGACCACCCACCTAATATTGAGTAGGTCCCATTTTGCCACAAAAACAGCCCTGACCCATTGAGGCATGGACTCCACTAGACCTCTGAAGGTATACTATCGTTTCTGGCACCAAGCCGTCAGTAGCAGATCCTTTAAGTCCTGCAAGTTGTGAGGTGAGGCCTCCATGGATAGGACTTATTTTTCCAGCACATCCCACAGATGCCCGATTGGATTGAGATCTGGAGAATTTGGAGGCCAAGTCAACACCTTGAACTAATTGTCATGTTCCTCAAACCATTCTTCATCAATTTTTGCGTGGCAGGGTGTATTATCATGCCATTAGGGAATACCATTTCCATTAAGGGGTATACTTGGTCAGTAACAATGTTTAGGTAGGTGGTATGTGTCCAGGTAACATCCACTTGAATGGCAGGACCCAAGGTTCGCCAACAGAACTGTCTTCCGTTGCACCATGGTCCGTGTCAATTGTAGGTGTTTTTGGCAGTGGAAACGGGTCACCATGGGCCCTGACTGCTCTATAGCTATGCAGCCTCATATATAAGAAACTGGGATGCTCTGTGTTTCCAGACACTTTTCTGATGGAACCACCATTAACTTATTCAGCAATCTGAGCTACAGTAGCTCTTCTGTTGGATCAGACTACACAGGTCCCCATGTACATCAGTGAGTCTTGGCCGCCTATCACCATGTCACTGGTTCACCAGTTTTCCTTCCTTGGAACACTTTTGGTAGGTGCAGACCAGGAACAATCCCACAAGAGCTACAGTTTTGGAGCTCCTCTGACCCAGTCGTCTATCACAATTTGGCCCTTGCCAAAGTTGCGCAAATCTTTACACTTTTTTTTCTGCTTCCAACACATCAACTTCAGGGACAAAATGTTCACTTGCTGCCTAATATGTCCCCCCCACTTCTAGGTGCTATTGTTCTGACATAATCCGTGTTGTTCACGTCACTTTTCAGTGGTCATAATGTTATGGTTGATAGAGTTGTTTCTGATACTGCAATCAAAGCTTGCATGAAAAATCCCTTATATGTAGTGAGCGCTGCCTTCCGTCTGCCCATCACTTCCATCAACTTCCTGGATTCCCTGTGTGCTTTGCGTCTCTTCCCTTGCTGCTTGATGTGACGCAATCTCGATTTCTCAAGACTACCTATCCCATCATGCATTGCTTCCAACCAGCAATGATAATGTTACATCATTCAGACATTAATTTGTACTGCAAAATGTAGGCTCTGTGAAAGAAGTGACACAAGGAACTGCATATTCACATGGCTGAGTGAAATTGTCAGTGCATCCTCTTGCTTGATGTCATGTAATCTCCATTTCTCAAGACTACATATCCCATAATGCATTCCAGCCAGCAATAATAACGTTACATCATTCAGACATTAAGTTGTAGTTCAAGACTACATATCCCATCATGCATTGCTTCCAGCAAGCAATGATTCTACATTTGTTTGTTTTAGTTTAGAAGGCAGGCACAGGGCTGAGTGCAATTGTGTTGGTGCATTGAGGAAGTCCATCCTATGGGCACCTTCAATAATTGAGTTCACAACTTCTAGATGGCTATGGTTATTAGGAGGGGAATATAACTTATAGAAATTCAATATAGTAATCCAAATGTATTTTTAGCTTTGCATTTAAAGGCACTTTCCACCTTTTGTACAGAAAACATTGCTGGATCGGGGCTGACAGTTGTCGTCCTGTAAAGTGAGCTTGTTGCTTTGCCCTGCACAGATTCACATTAATAGGTTGAAAAAAGACACAAGCCCATCAAGTTCAACCTATACAGATAACACATTTGATGGCACATTTCAGCCTTTATCCGGGTTTCTAGGGCAAGACTGCTCTTGTGTTTCTTTCCTGTTGCAGCCTCTTTAATATTTTGTGTTTTTCTGCTTGTATGTGCTTTGCAGTTAGACATTGAAAATGAAGTTAACAATGAAATGGCAAACAGGATGTCGCTATTCTATGCTGAAGCCACGCCAATGCTGAAGACACTTAGCAATGCCACCACCAGCTTTGTATCCGACGTGAGTCATCTCTGCAAGCGTTTAACGTTCACATTTTGTTTTTTGCATTTTCATTTTTCTGATTTATCTTTTTTTTCTCTTTTTTTTGTAGAATAAAACATTACCCATAGAGAACACCACAGACTGTTTGAGTACAATGGCCAGTGTGTGTAAAGTAATGCTTGAAACACCGTAAGTCACTTCTCCTTGATCTCCTCCGCTCTATCGCTGCTGGTAACACAGATATTGTCACTTTTAATCCTCCGCACTCTGTGCTGTGTACGTCTTCTGTTTTATGTCTCATTATTGCAATGACATTGTTCCTGTTAAACAGTTTGCTAGACGATCCATTGTGAAAGGGATTTCTTTATGCTCGATCAATAAAACACTTTAGTGACAAAGATTGTTTACAGCGCTCTGTGGAGGTCGAGTGATGGAAATGTTCTCTGTGTTTAGTATAGAAACAAGAAAAGAGGAAAAAGATCATCTGAAAATATGATTCTACAAGCTGAATGGATACACAGATAATAGGATAGCAATGGATTGGATGTTATGCATTGTTACTTAGGATGTTCAGTGTAGTGAAAGTGTTGACCTCGTGTGCCTTCACTATATTGAAGCCAGGCAAAACTTTAGTTACTGGTTTTAATGCCGACGTTTAATCTGGTATCTGTGCTTCTCTCTGCAATGGAGGTAGATCAAAACATCACAGCACCCTGCCTCAGTATGAGGGCTCGTTCACAACCTCTGCATTCAGACCAGTTTTTCCAGAGCAGGCCAAACGCAAGACAAGGCAATTTGCATAGTGACGGATGGTGACAGTTTACACCACGTCAAAAAAAAAAAAAGAAAAAAAACCACAACTATGCCCCATAGAACCCAATAAAAGTTTCTTGTGACATTTCAAT